CAAAGTACCTCAGTAAGTGCTATCCATTAATTTTATGAAAACCAACAATTTTCATTTTCCTGTTGGGTCTTTGCGGTCAACCCTGCAGCCCCGCGATGGCTTTATAAACCGTGAACCACCTGGGTACACCATGAAAATAGCCTCGGTCACAACGTAAACATTATAAATTGGGATTTACCTCCGGATATACCAAATACAACTGCTGGTGTTTGACAAAAAAAATGATAGGTCGAATGATTTTCCCCTCTCCCACGTCACGCGGAGAGAAATTTTTGATGAAAATTATCCTTCCGTTCTATAAAAGTGTATAATGAGTTATCGTTTCCTCATTTCTATCCCGCAATTTAGTAAAAATTAATATACGATAATTAAATTTTATTCTACGTTAGAGAAATGTTATCCTGATAAAAATAAAAATTATCGTGCGGGTAGAGTAAAAATTACTGTAACGCTAGGGCAAAATTTACCAACCGTTCTAGAATTTTCGTTGTCATCTACATAAAAATTATTGGACTGCAAGGGTAAAATTTATTATGCGTCAGGATAAAACTTCTCTAAATTGGAATAAAATTTGATCATCATACATTAATTTTTACTAAATTTCGGGATAGAAATGAGGAAACGAAGACTCATGACACACTTTTATAGAGTGGTAGGAGAATTATTATCAAAAATTTCTCTCCGCGCATGACTCCAATCATCATTAAAACCTAAAAATGAATTTATTGATAATTTTATAATCGTCCTCCCATAAAGGTAAGAAAATCCCCCGGATATACCAAATACAACTTCTGGTGTTTGACAAAAAAAATGATAGGTCGAATGATTTTCCCCTCTCCCACGTCACGCGGAGAGAAATTTTTGATGAAAATTATCCTACCGTTCTATAAAAGTGTATAATGAGTCATCGTTTCCTCATTTCTATCCCGCAATTTAGTAAAAATTAATATACGATAATTAAATTTTATTCTACGTTAGAGAAATGTTATCCTGATAAAAATAAAAATTACCGTGCCGGTAGAGTAAAAATTACTGTAACGCTAGGGCAAAATTTACCAACCGTTCTAGAATTTTCGTTGTCATCTACACAAAAATTATTGGTAAAATTTATTATGCGTCAGGATAAAATTTCTCTAACGTAGAACAAAATTTGATCATCATATATTAATTTTTACTCAATTTCAGTAGGATAATTTTTATCAAGAATTTCTCTTCATGCATCTCATCTCCAATCACCATCAAAACCTAAAAATGAATTTATTGATAATTTTATAATCGTCCTCCCATAAAGGTAAAAAGATCCCCCGCACTTGAAATTTTTTTTCAAGTCTGGCCAAGTGATTTTCTGCGATATCAGCCAAACCCCCCTCAGGCGAAGATATTCAGGGCCCACGTGGGGGGTGGTGGATATTTCAGAAGCATTTGCCTACGGGTGGTAGTTGGGGCTGCCCGTAATACAGTAATGAGGGCTTACTGCCATGGAAACCAAAGCCGCTTACAGCCAACCACTCGCTTTCTGCCCCCCCCTCATCCCCCCGTTGAGCTCACGCACCCCCTCCCACTCCCCACATCTCTTCACCAACTGGCAATGTGCTCCTCATCCGCGATTTACTGGAGACCAAAAAAATTTTCCCCGAGAATTGCCCGTTTTTTTTAACACTGTATCGGTAAAACCTTTGGGAACGGAACCTTTCCCTTCCCAAAAATCCACTGCTGCTTTTTAAATTCACCTCTTTCGAAAATTGAAATTTTCAAACAGTTGAATTTATGATGAATTATTGAAGGAAAATGAACGACCTTTATTTATTGGAATTACTGAAATGTCGCTGACGCGAGATTTTTGAACATGAGATCGAATAATGACTAATTAAAATGAGTGAATTCATCATCATAGAACAGTTGAGGAACTTTTTCAAAATATGATTATCGCCACTTAACAAATGATGAAATCATTTTTAACTTTTGTAGTAGATTGTGATATAAGGACGGGCCCAAGGCGGAAGTCCAGGGGGGCCAACCCCCCCGCGGGGGGTCTGGGGGGGCACGGCCCCCCACTCAAGAAAAGCCAAATTGCAACTGAATGAAAAATAATAATTTTTCAAACTCCATAAACATATTCAAACTCCATAGTCAATTTTATTTGAATGGAAAAGAACTTCTACAATTTATTGATAATTTTCGATTGAAGAAAATCCCAACTATTTCAAAGAGAAGAGATTATTTTCGAAATACAATCATTTCATTTTTAACACAATTCGCTTTAGGGTGGCTGGTGCCTGTACCGCTCAGCGGGTAAACCGCCCGTACTTCTCAGGATTGGCTGAGATCTTTTTTTCTGTTTTTATTATGCAAATATTTAACAGCAACAAGTAATTTCAACAGAAATTTTCAATCTTCTCCCGTGGAAACATAAAAAATCCAAATCATATTCTACCGAATTCTTAAAATAATTCGCCCCCAGATTTTAATATTTTTCAAATTTTCAGTGGGTCCACAATTGAATGGAGTGCGAAATATATGTTCGTTATACATTTCACAGCCATTGCGACCTTTTCGATAGCAGAAAAATATCTTCATCAGTTATTATTGGCTATTTTATCAGCCTCCGCGTTTGTGGGTAATTCCGCCCAGAATTTGTGGGTAATGCCGCCCAGGGTTTCTATAGGTCTGCTAGACTCTGCAGCTAGAGGTCGGTCGAGTGACAGCTCGACTGTTTGGGGTAGTCGGTGGCCACTGGAACATCGGGTAAATTCAGGATAATTTATTACTATTCACGTGAAATCTTTCTCAAAATGGAGCCAAAGAATGGAAACGAAGGATGAGAATAGGAAAATTTATAACAGTTGGTCTGCATTGCTGAAAAAAGTCGTGAAACCAAGGTGGGCGGTATTGGACGGCTGCCGGGCGGTATTACCCTCAAAGGTCGATTCCATCGCTCACTGGCCGATGCCAATTGAATGACATAATTAAATATGTTGAATGTTAATAAAAAATCTGTCCTCTTCACATCTTCGATTAAACACCTCGAAGAACCCATTCTAACCGTTTATGACTCCTTGTAGAGTGCGAGGCTGGAAAAAAAGACTCATTTCCCTCACGTGGGCGGTACATGCGCCAGCTACCCTCCGCTGAAACCGCCACTTCCACACACCGCGATGAAAATCGAAAATAGTTTCCCCTCGAAAAATATGAGCGCTACCCCTGCGCCAGTTCGAAAAAAATGAAATGAGGGCAAGAAAAAAAATCACTACCCATCAAAGAAGAGCGAGTGAATATCCACGAGTCCGCAATTTCCTTTTCCAATTTGCCATAAACAAGTCGAACGCCCCCTCGTTAAACGCGTACGTCCGTGACTCCTTGAAACTTCCTGCGTTTCTCCGCTCCCCTCTCTCCCCCTTTTCCACGATTGCGAATTCCTTGGAATGTCTCCAGGACGCAGAGGGGGGGGGGGGGGG